TCACGCCAATTGCAAGGGATATTATGCTGGCAAAAGCGGAAACCAAGGAGCGCCGGCAAAAGAAGCTCGAACAGGTTTGTCTCTCCTTCTCACGGGTATACATTTATGAATTATGTATACGCAGCTCCGTTCACCATCGAAACGTGGATTAATATCTCATGAAGAAATAATTTCTTAATTGATAAAAAAAAAAAGATAAATATGGACGTATAATTATATATGAAAATATATAGGTTCTATATAATTTATTTCGCTCTCCTATTTCAAGAGCGTATCAAAAGAGCTTTTTTTTGTGAATTATTTCCATGAATGGATTAGACAAACATTACTCATTTTACAAAAAATGAACTAATTTAACTTTATAAAAAAAAATCGAAATCTTTACAACTCAAAAGGGATTTTTTAAAGGTTCGTCAAATAAAAATCGCATTTGATTATGTCATGAATATATTCTTTTTATCTATGTTATCTGATTCGTCAATAATTTTCGGTCAAATTGAAAAATAGTTTATCTCATTTTCTGAGAAATTTAATTTTTTTAAAATTCAATAAATAAAAAAAAAACGGTCAAATAATTAAATAAATTAAACAATATAATATAGGGCTAATATTATGTATGATTATATTGGTTAATTAATTTTTTTAGTTGTGTCACTTTTAAAATAAGGGAGCAAAATAATTCGCTCCACACGCTTGTTATACTACACACAAATTTATAGTATTAATTATATACACGAATGGAAGAATTATGACATTTCCCGATAACAACTGCGAAATGCTGTTAGTTCTTCAGAGAAGCGTACGCGTTGACTTTCGGTTTACGGCCCGGCGAACGAAGGCGGCGGTCTGAAGACAGTGACACCGGAGAGGTCGTCACGGTAATGCGCACATCGCTTTCCAAGAGCGAGTTTGCGAGTGCTCTCGGCATGCGGCCCGACGCAGTCTTCGTGAAGAAAATGTTCAACATCGTGGACAAAGACGGCGACGGCCGGATTTCTTTCCAGGTATAATTGTCGCTCGCTTCATCGAAGCTGCGCTTTTACCATTTTGTCTGAATATAACTTCCTTACCTTGTCTGACGATCATCAGCGAAGAGCGATTCGAATTTCAGGAATTCTTGGACACGGTCTTACTGTTCTCACGTGGTAAAACCGAGGACAAGCTGCGTATCATCTTCGACATGTGCGATAAGGATAGCAACGGCGTGATCGACAAGGAAGAACTGTCGGAGATGCTGAGGTCGTTGGTGGAAATAGCGCGTACCACCAGTCTCTCGGATGATCACGTCACGGAATTGATCGACGGCATGTTCCAGGTGCGCTTTTATTATTTTCACTTCATTATGGTAGCTTAATAGTTATTTTAAAATGTCTTTTGTCATCGTCGCGGTAACTGCTAAATCCCTTATTAATCAGGACGCTGGACTCGAGAGGAAGGACTACCTCACGTACAACGATTTTAAATTGATGATGAAGGAATATAAAGGTGATTTCGTCGCGATCGGTCTCGATTGCAAAGGTGCCAAGCAGAATTTTCTCGACACATCGACGAATGTTGCTCGCATGACCAGCTTTCACATCGATCAACTACCCCCGGAAGATTCGAAGAGCTGGACTCGAAAGCAGTGGGATGCCATATCGACTTTTCTCGAAGAGAACAGGCAGAATATATTCTACCTCTTTGTGTTTTACGTGGTCACCATAGCTCTCTTTGTCGAGAGATTTATTCGTGAGTATTTAATCGATCTCAAAGTAGAACAAAAATTCAAAACACGTCTAAATATACTTCGATTTTTCTAGACATCTTTGAATATATGATTATATAGTTTATTATATTAATATAATCATATTATATATAATAATATATTATATTATGTTATATAATTATTGTAATTTTTCCTAATTCTTTTGAATATATGATTTGTTCAGAAAGCATTCTGTTCGTTTGCTGCAAAATTTCAATCTCTTGCCTTTTTTTCGCAGATTATTCTTTTATGGCAGAACATACGGATCTCAGACATATAATGGGCGTGGGAATCGCCATAACCAGAGGATCAGCAGCCGCACTGTCCTTCTGCTACAGTCTCCTGCTATTAACAATGTCGCGTAATCTGTTGACGAAGCTGAAGGAATTCTCGATTCAGCAGTACATCCCGCTGGACTCGCACATACAATTCCACAAGATCGCAGCATGTACGGCACTTTTTTTCTCTGTGCTGCATACGGTCGGTCACATAGTCAACTTTTATCACGTTTCTACGCAACCGATAGCTCATCTTCGCTGCCTCACCAGTGAAATCAGCTTTCCCAGCGACGCGCGGCCTACTATCTCTTTTTGGCTGTTCAGAACAGTGACCGGTAGGTGTTCTCGCCAAAGATTTCACAATTTCATTGGACATTCGGAACGTTGACATGATTCCCTTATTTCGCTCTTGTTGCAGGTTTAACCGGTATTCTTCTTTTCGTCATCATGACGATTATTTTCGTCTTCGCACATCCAACCATACGACAGAAAGCCTACAAGTTCTTTTGGTCGACGCATAGTCTCTATGTAGTACTATATGCATTATGTCTTATCCATGGTTTAGCCCGTTTGACAGGCGAACCGCGATTCTGGATATTCTTCGTCGGCCCGGCAATCATTTACGCGCTAGATAAAGTAATTTTATACCCGCTTTTTCGGAAAGTAGAACAGTGACAAAGAAAAAGAACAATTCCCTTTTTTACACGTATATATGCATCACACCCGTAATCACACATAATTATAAAATTTATTAATTATGTATGGAGATCATGCATGACGTAACATGTTACGTATTATCTCACATTTAATGGAAATCGTCTTTTGTCGCTAAAATTATTTGATTTGAATTATTAATGCAACATAAAAATAACATCAAGCGCCGAAGAGTGTTATCAGAGCACTGATTTCAGGTCGTCAGCTTGAGAACTAAATACATGGCTCTGGATATCATCGAGACGGAATTACTCCCCTCCGACGTAATAAAGATCAAATTCTACAGACCTCCGAACTTAAAGTACCTGTCGGGTCAGTGGGTACGTCTCGCCTGCACTGCCTTCAGGTCTAATGAATTTCATTCTTTCACGCTGACTTCCGCGCCACACGAGAATTTTCTATCGTGCCACATAAAAGCTCAAGGGCCGTGGACGTGGAAGCTCCGTAATTACTTCGATCCTTGTAACTATAACCCGGAGGATGATCATCCGAAGATTCGTATAGAGGGTCCGTTCGGTGGAGGAAATCAGGATTGGTACAAGTTCGAGGTCGCGGTGATGGTTGGAGGTGGCATCGGGGTGACTCCTTATGCCTCGATGCTCAATGATCTCGTATTTGGAACCTCCACCAATAGATATTCAGGCGTCGCGTGCAAGAAGGTAAGTGCAAACCAAAATAAAAATTAAATGAAGAAAATAATCAAGTGAGGAAAATTTAAAAGACACATCTTTACATAAATATATTTATTTTCTTTATACAAAATGTAATTTATTCTTTATATAAAATATAAATTATTATAGAAAATTTTATAACAAGAATAAGCGGATAAAAAAAATTTATTTATTTTTATTTTATAAAGAAAATTCATAATCGGCGAAATTAGGAAGTAACTTAATTGAATTTAACTGTTTGTGATCCGTTTGAGAAGTATTTCTAAAAATGTATATTCATATTAGAAATTGAAAATACATATTCATATTGAAACTGTTGTTACGGTAAAGTTGATGCAAAAGTGACGATTGCTTCATTATTAGAAAGTACGTTTTACTGTCGAAAGAGAAACGTGAATATGGAATATTGTTGGGATAGATAATCCATTGCGTTAAATTTAACGGCTCATTAAAGTAAGAAAATGCTTCCATTTTTTTATTCGATAATAAATATTGTGTCACTTTCTTTTTATTTTGTATAGGTCTATTTTTTATGGATCTGCCCATCGCATAAACATTTCGAATGGTTTATTGACGTTCTCAGAGATGTTGAGAGAAAAGACGTTACGGATGTGCTTGAAATTCACATATTTATAACGCAATTCTTTCATAAGTTCGATTTGCGTACCACCATGCTGGTAAGCGAATTCATATTGGAATTTTTGTATCCGCGATGGAAAAGTACGCAAAATTTCTCCTTATATTTAATTAATTCAATCGGATTTAATTATTAATAACATTTTGCTTCACATATGTAGTACATATGTGAGAATCACTTTCAGAGGCTATCGAAGAAGAGTATATTCACCGGCCTGAAGGCCATCAATCACTTTGGTCGGCCGGACATGACGTCGTTTTTGAAATTTGTTCAAAAGAAACACAGCTATGTGCGTTCATGATATTTGTTTTTATTAAGAATGCACTCGTTCGGCGCATAGAAGCTCAAGGGATGTTTGAAGAAGATAAAGAGTTAAACGTCCTTCGTGCTTTTGCGCGGCCTGCTAATAATATTGTTGATATTATTTTTTAAAAATATGTTGAATGATTTTATTTATCTATACAGGTTAGCAAAATAGGAGTATTTAGCTGTGGGCCGCGTCCTCTGACGAAAAGCGTCATGTCTGCATGCGATGAAGTTAATAAAACACGGCGGTTGCCGTACTTCATTCATCACTTCGAGAACTTTGGCTAGTCCAATACACTGCTCCCTGTTTGTATGAGATAACGGACTGTCAATGTGTTTGACAACCTTTCTCCACGATTTACATATTTAGAATGTACATATTTATACGCTGAAGCGTTGCTTTTTACTATTTATTATCATGAGTATTATATTTCTTATTTATAAATTCAAAAAAGAAAATCTTTTTCTCCCTATCTTTTTATCTTCCCAAATTAAACACTCTAAAAAACTTAGTTGTAATTTTATTATAATTTATTATAAAATTTATTATATAATTTTTTTAATTATAAAATTATTTATTATAATAAATTATAATGAAATTTCGTCATAGATAAAAAAATTACGCGCGCGCGCGCGTGTGTGTGTGCGTGTGTGTACATATATTTATTTTTACTTTATTATCAAATTTTTTTTTACATTCGTAATTGTAGGGTAAACGCTCTCAAAATGGAATTTCCGCATATGATTCAAATCAGAGACGTCTTGGATTCTCTTTTTTTATTAAATAGTATTAAATAATCATAAAATAAAATACCTATCTAAGTATTTTTAATAGCGTTTAGGAAAGTCGATGAGTATCGTAATTGTCCGTAGCATTTGAGAAATATATTAGGCATTAATGGTTCTGCGCGAGGTTGGCGGGAATGGATACGACCAATTACTCTTGCTGGACTCATCACCAATTTCTTGCGGGAATTCGGACAACTCGTGCGACGTATAGCCTCGATTAATGACACCTTCGGTATCCTCTTTAACGGCATGTCTATTTTGTAGTTTAGATGACAGTTGACTGAAACATTTTTAGAACTATAGAATACAAGAAAAAAAAATTTAATTATAAAGGAAGATAGAAGATTTCAAATTTTGAAGGAAAATTTGCAAATTTATTTCAGGAAAAATATAAAACGGACATTTCTATATTTAAGTGTTATTCACTTTACTATATTAGAAAATTGATTCATAATATAAAACTATTACTATTAAAGATATAAAAATTTCCATTTATACATTTCCAGTGTTTCGCGTTTTATCACGATTAATTCTATAAATTCTGAGAAAATAATCTGTTATTTTTTGGTCTAGTTTTTCTTAGGACACTGTGCTTTACAGGTTGAACTTACAATAGATGATAAAATATGTTACTAAAAAATAACGGCGTAAAAACTGAAATTATTTATATTTTTATCATTTTATGATAACATTTTTCTGTTTTTAGGTTTAATCTGTAAAGCAAAGTATTCTGAGGAAAGAACATGATAAAAAAAATAGCAAAGTGTTTCCTTAGAAGCCATTGTGAAAAAACTCGAAATTTTTAGATCTGTCTTCCGGTGACAGAAAATTTCTATATATTTTTAATAAATTTTCTATTACAAATTAAATTTTTACGTCTTAAATATCGTGTAATAAATAACGTTTAAACGACAATGTGGCAATTTATTCCTTTTCCTGAAATAAATTTGCAAATTTCGCCTCCAATTTAATATACAAATCTCCCTTAAATTCGGCTGATTGTAATGCAAACCTCATTATTCGATCGCCGAACGAATCTTCAATCTTGGGGATTTTCCGCCTAACGTTACGCGTATCGAAACTCTCCTCTATAATGACGTGCCTATCATACGGCGTGTCGTAGTCGACTTCGAGTATGGTCGAGAATTGATGAGGGAAGATCATATCTATAGCTGTTATTATGAGTCCCGCGAAGAGGCACGCAGCACCTGTGAAGAAAAGAAATCACGTACGTATATTTGTACATTGATTGAGTCTTAATAAAGTAATTTCAACACAAGGACACGAACCAGCTGATAACACCAACCAATAATTCCAGCCGAGATTGAAAGAAAGGATCGAGCCCTCGATATGGGCTATCAGAGGTTCACATGGTAAGAGTGTCGTGTAGATCAGGTTTGTTAACAGCATGCATAAACCCGTGAAAATCATGCCGTATGCCCCATATCGCGGTACCACCATAAGTAATAAATTCATCATTAACCACGAGGCAAAGGAGGTCCTGCACAAGAAAGATTCCTCATTTCGCGTACAGGCAATGAGTGGAAAACTCGTATTCATAATCGATTCTTGTATTTAAATGCGTCTTAAATAATGTCTTAAGGTGCTGATATGGCTCTTTGATTGATTATCTTAAGATTATAACATCTTAACATTATATTTAAAACAATCTTAAATAAAAATTGATTATTGATGCCTTCCAGTATAAGACACAGTGTAAAATGGTGTCTACAATAAAATTTTGAGGCGTAAAATTTAAGCTCTAAATCGAAATTACGGCTTAGTTAAAACTGAAATTTTATGTCTTAAAATCTCATAACACAGCGCTTAACACAGTGATTATATTTCATCTCCGTTTAACATTAGCAAACAACAAGCAAAAATGTAATAATTCACTGTGTCTCTTGCTGGAAAGCACTGTATAAATACTAGCCACGGAGCTGCATTGATGTCTTAAAACGTCATTATATAAGATAGTCTTAAAATAAGAATGGACTATAGAGTATTCACATAGTCAGTTTTTACATTTAACCGTTTCTAAATGTAAGACAGTTTTGAAATGTCGTAAATTACAGAGCCGTATTATAGCGTCTTAAAACATTACTTAAGATAATAGACTTGTAATAAAAACGGACTGTAAATACTAAATTATGACTCTCAAAATGATTTCTACGAAAGTATTTCATCACACAGAAGTAATAATATACCATAACATTATCGAAGCATAATATCCAGCTTCGCGATATCGTAAACCCCAAGAAAATCCCTCTTGATGGAGGCTGAAATACTCCGCCAAGGAAACAATGGGAAACGGCGCACCCTGATGAAGAGCCTGCTTGAATGCGCTGGTCATTTCGCCAGAACTCCGCCACCAAAATCTTTCATTGTACTCGACGTCACCGCTCGTCTGCTCATTACTTGGCAATACTGCAACGATAAAATCTACTTGACGTAAGTGGACGAATCGTTGCATAAACATCTGTTCGAAAATTGCAATTTGCAGTGTGCAATCGTAAGTAGAAACACAAGTCAGACGTCAAAACGATATTGAATTGGCTTCAAAATAGATCGTTAAAAGTCAGTTTAATTAATAACTATTTATTTTAACGTTATCTTGACTATCGTTTTATTTCGAATATAGCCCAATAATTTTAATCTTAATTTCCAAGCTTATTACATTCGATCAGTCGTAGCTCGATATCTTCAATTGTAGAAGAGCGTGTAAAAAGTATTCAGATATCTAGCTTTCTGTACTTACGCCTGTATGTTATATTGATGTGCATTAAACCGATGTAACCGCCTATGTCGGCCGTTGCCTTATGCTTGGAGAAAGCGCTGTAAGAGCTGACAATGGTAGCGGAGCTCGTATGCCAGGATGAGCCGTATTGCGCCACTACGCGCGCATAGAGAGCACAGCAATTATTCTTTCGTACGTTAGCGGCATTACATTTGTGATTATCTCGATTAATCATCCCACAAATGGATTTCGCAATTTTATTGATCAGTCGAAGCAATGTCTTTAGAGATAAACTACGCGCGATTTACTGCGAATACTGCAAGCGTTACAGTGGCGTAACTAATGTATAATATTAAATCTCGAAATATTTTTTATTTCAATTATTTACTTGTTCTTTACCTTTTTGAACCTCTCGTGTGTTTAAAAATGATGAACAATACGAGGAAATTGAAATACAGATAACATGATTTAATGCAACAAAAGTATAGAGGAGTTTCACTCAATATTCTTATTTTTCGCTTGCTTCCGATTAATCTTTTCTATTTTTTTTTTATTTTCCCATCGCTGCTTTTTTTATCGGTCTCATCGAACTTCGCGAGGCCGATCAGTTAGTTACGCCACTGGCAGCCAAGGCCCCCCTTGACTTGGAAAGTAGACAAAGTGCACGAACCTTGAATCGTCGCACCCACGAAGAGGCTCAGGGTAACCGTGAGAAATGTGGTTAACCGCTGCGGCGGAAGAAAAACCAGGTTTACACGGCCAGAAGTCGTTAATTAATTTAAATCGTCGGTCACGATCAGGCACGACGGAGGAATAGAAAACTGCTCACCTCTTTCCTGACGCCCGGGAATATGACTAGAAACGCCGCGAACAGGGTGCCGAATATCACGAATACGATGACCAAGGGAACGTCACCGGTGACAGGAGTGCGGTTGCTGTAACTGTAGAGCGTCGGACCGCCGTCGTTGCGAAAGGCATCGAACCATCCCTTCATCTTCCTGGATCAGCTAGTTCCGGCTCGCCGGAATCTGGGCCACTCGAAATGAAAAATTACGTTACCATCCTCGCTCTCGGCAAAGCAAATTGTAGGCTACACGATCAATATTTTCTTTGCCAATCATACTGTACTTTCACTACTTACGCACGCTATTTCAAAGTATTAACTTTTATTTGGAAAAAAAAAAAGCAGCATACAAAAAGCCGCAGATAACGCAGGCTTTGAGAAGATATCTTCTGTTGCTAGGCACTTTATTCAGACACTCTCCTGACCTTTCGCCAGTTGGAGAACACCGGTGGATCTTTATTTACGAATGACATCACCGCGAATGAAAAATGAAGATTTTAATTGACAGGAGTTGTTTCGATATGATTTTTACTGAAATGCTATCTCTCGCAGCCATTGGCGCGATCCAAAAAGGATGGGATGTCGCTCCCGGCTGGCCTTGACACACATGAGTCCCGAAGGAGTTTCTATTCCTTCGAGGGGAGTTTACCTACGACCAGCAGATTTGGACTCAAGGTCGGAGCTGCCAAAACTCTTGCGAAATCCTCGACATGCGTTGAAAGCGCACTCGCGCACTGTGCGACATGTGGGACCGAAGGCGGCGAGTGTACTGGGGCCCTGTGCCCCGAGTGGGTTAACAGGCTCCGCTTGGAAAGCGGCTTCCACCAGCGAACAGACGACCTCGTGCATTACCTGGGAGAGAGAGAGAGAGAGAGAGAGAGAGAGAAGGCAATACCGCGAGTGGGGCTGTCACCGCGATGGTCATCAGCAGGAGAGAACGAGAGAGAAAGGCACGAGGGACGAAGAACGATTAAACGAGAAAGGTCTACATTGAATCAGCTGATCTGATTCCCCTGTTCGCTCCGAGTTGACTTCTGTTGCTCTCCTTTTAAATTTGATATCTCTTATCAATGTCCCATTAAGGAACATAGATATTGGATAATCAAATTCTCTGTTGAACATGAATGTATCAACTTTTAACAACGAACTTTTCGGATCAATTTTAGAACTCAGATTATTTTAATATTAAAAAAAATATATTGAAGAAGTTCTAAATTTATCTTTTTCAATTTTTGACATGCTGTACTGAGAGAAAAGTTTTTGGTATTTGTGATCATAATTTGTGTAAAATAAATGATCGAAAGTTTTACTTTTATAGTTATTATTGCTATAATGTTAGTAAAAATAATTATATTTGTAGTTAATTGTAGTTATTTATATTTTTATATCACAAAGAATATAAAATTGTAGTCGTTTCCGGAGACAATATTCTTCTTAATATAAAAATATAAATATAATTATTATACTAACATTATAGCAGTAATAACAATAAAAATTAAACTCCTTGCCATAATTATTTTACCATGCAATTATAGTCACAAATACTAAAAACTTTTCTCTCAGTATACATCTTCTTTTTTGATTAAGCTTTAATTAAAATTTTATTACAATAGAATAGACCACTCGAAATTAATTAGAAAATATGATAATGCAAATATGTGCATTCTTGAAGTTTAATTCAACAATAGTCACTTCTCTTTATTTATAGCTGTGCACATAAAAATTAACAATTGATTTAAAATTAAACAGAATATATCAATATTCTTTTCTCTTCTTTGTTATTATTCGATAATTCAACGAATCGATTATTAGCGATTTCGTAATGATGATTTTTTTTCGATCTTACGGATCGTGTGGCATGCGGGATGGCATGCGAGTGACATCGATGCCGGCAAACGAGACAACTTTCGTGACAAACGAACGAGAGCTTTCAAAGTTCCCGAAATATTCCCAAATCCCGAATAGCATCTAGGACAATTCGGACTGCCATTTAAATACTCCGCGAGTTGATGACTCGGTTTACAGTCATGAAAATAGAACTGTAGGTCTATTAAGAAATCTTAACTGATTTACAAAAGGTTAATTATCAGAGACAAAGCTATCATTGCAAACTTTATCTTAATAATAAAATTAATAATATACAAGTAAATATTATTTTATTTTTATTTGGTATAATAAATTTGTTACATAATTTAGAGAAATATATGCTAAAAAAGAAATGACTGAATTTACAGCAAATAAAAAGAGTTTTCTCACGATCGATTATAAAATTATTTAATGACTCTTATTTTTACATTTAAATAATATTAAGTAGAAAGTGAAATGATTAAAATAATGTATGAAAAAATGATTTAGACATAGTATATATTAATTACATTATAATAATATATTTGGAAGATAATATATTGCAATCTAATCGTCATAATAATTTTGAAAATAATCCAAGAATTCTATAATTTGTTATTTCATATAAAATAAAAAATTAAATAACTGAATACGTTAGAAATTATTAAAATCTTGCTTTGTAATCCTATAAAATAAATATAGTTTTATGATTCTTTATTTATTCGAAATTACACACTATAACTATTTCTACTACAAAGAGTCCTGATTCACAATTTATTACAATTAATTCAAAATTTATTACGCCAATATACAATCAATCAACATTTAATTCACAACGAATTCACGCTCTTGCAAACAAAGATAACAGTTACGGTTTCTTCCTCGCGCCTAAACCGTTTTAATTTAGCACAAGGTCTTTTTTTCCTCAATAACATCATCACTTCCACTTTCTTTGATGCACAAGAGAACGTTTAGTAGCACGTCGCGATGTCCTCCGATTTGTCGATGTCTAATGAACGAGCATCGTATCGAATCGCATTGAATCGCATTATTCCGGTAGCGGAAGCGCATCGAACCGTATTCCGCTCGTTCTCCGAGGCCGGGTACCGCGGTATGCCGTGTCCAAGCCGGCTATGCTATATCGCCGCCAATAATTCCGCTATTTCGGGCCGTCTAATTTCAGGCCCGGTGACGCTGTGCTTTTAACGGCGGCGTTGATAGTGGAGCATCATCCAGCGTCGACGGTCACCACCACCGCCGCCAGTAATAATCACCGGAACGGTGGTTCGGTGGTAGCGAAACCGCTGCTCGCTGCAGTCTCCTGAAGGCTTGGGCCTCCTACTGCCATCCGACGCTGGTCCTCCGGTCCATAAAGGTAAAATCAACCCTTTCATATTCGTCCTTCTTCGGAGATCTCGATATTTTTTTCACGAATTCGTAATCCTTCCAAAAATAGTAACTAGTAGTCCATTTTGGATTCAATCAGGGAATTAGTCGTGTGCGACATTTGGGCTGCTGTATTTTATAATTGTTAAAATTGATAATTAATTCTGAATTTTTCAATATAATTACTGATACATTTTTTTTTGGGAATACAGTATTCGGTGTCTTTATGATGATTAAAACAAAAAATCTTATATTTGACCTTCTTTAAGCTTAATGTTATATAAAATTAGAATGTTGATGCGTATGAATGTTATAATTATAATAAAGACAAATAGAGATAAAAAGTGAATGATTATTGAATCCTTTTAGGACATTAAACAAAAAAGTAATATTAGACTATGTGATAGTAGTATGTATAATAGAGAAAATTTTTTGGCTTATGTATTTAACATATATATGTATATCTATGGTGCAGATTGATTTTAATTATATAATTTTCAGTGTCAATCTTTCAAAAAAAATTTATAGTACATATATATATATATATATATTTGTGAATTTTAAAAGAGTTAACTATAGAATTATAATGTGAGTTATACGAAGAAGAAATAACTTATTGAAATAACTATTAAAATATCGATTTTTTTGAAATGCGGGACTTGATAAGAACTAATTATGAAAAATGTTCAAAAGCAATTCAAAAGTCTTTGTTGCAAGCAAACAGGATGTTATTCATAAACGTTATTTTTATTTCAAATACATCGTCGGTTCTGGCATACGTACAAAACACACTAAAATTTCTTTACACATTTTCCTTCATAGAAAGATATATTTGTTATAAAATTCAGATTAGTTTTAATTATTATGTTTTATCTTTAATGTATAAAAAGAAAGAAAAGAACAATTTAGAATTAAATTTAATCCTGTTATATTCTAATATAGCGTAGTAATTACATTTATAATTACGTTTATACATTATATCAAAATTTCTAAATGTGCAATTAAAACGGATTTAATTAATTCTGCGTTACTCTCCCCTCCCTCCC